AATGTCGAATACCCCGTCACGGTATTTATATACGGTGATAAATGCCGTATACCCAATCACTGTTTATGCCCCGGCCCGGTAAATATACACGGTAGAAAAATGTCGTATACCCCGCCACGGTATTTTAATACGGTGATAAATGTCCAATACCCCGTCACGGGATATATACACGATAGATAAATGTCGAGTACCCCGTCACGGGATATATACACGATAGACAAATGTCGAATACCCCGTGACGGTATTTATATACAGTAGATAAATGTCGTATCCCCCGTCACGGTATTCATATACGGTGATAAATGGCGAATACCCCGTCACGGCATATATACATAATAGATAAATGTCGAGTACCCCGTCACGGGATATATATACGGTGATAAATGTCGAATACCCCGTCACGGTATATATACACGATAGATAAATGTCGAATACCCCGTCACGGTATATATATACGGTAGATAAATGTTGTATACCCCGTCACGGTATATATACTCGGTAGATAAATGTCGTATACCCCGTCACGGTATATATACATGGTAGATAAATGCCGTATACCCAATCACTGTTTATGCCCCGGCCCGGTAAATATACACGGTAGAAAAATGTCGTATACCCCGTAAATGTATATACACCACCCCGGTATATTTACACAGTAGATACATGTCGTATACCCCGTCAGGGTATATATTCGCCGTAGATACATATCATATACCCCGTCAGGGTATATAGTCGCCGTAGATACATGTCGTATACCCCGTCAGGGTATTTATTCGCCGTAGATACATGTCATATACCCCGTCAGGGTATATAGTCGCCGTAGATACATGTCGTATCCCCCGTCAGGGTATATATTCGCCGTAGATACATGTCGTATACCCCGTCAGGATATATTTACACAGTAGATAAATGTCAAATACCCCGCTCTGATATATAAAAGTCATATATTCTGTCCTCATTTCTCTTTTTATAATATATATGATAACCCCTTAATATCGATAATTGGATTAATCAGCACTCGGCCATATACAACAACACCAATTTTCTCTGACGCATACTGCTCTATAATTTACTCTCAAACCCGCACTGATAAAAAATATTGCTGTTATTTAATGTCCTATCGAGGTATCGTGATCAATACTAACTGTTAGCGTACAGCCAGGCTGCTGTCTTCATCACACCACTCGTCACAGACTGGCGCTAAACACCTGCATCATCATCTTAATATTGTGTGAGGCGATGTATCTCGGTTATCAAGCAGACCTGCTATTAATAGCGAATCGTATGGGACCAGCTATATACTGCTCCCACGTCATGGTGCTTCTCTCTTCCTCTCCATAGCGCTATATTAATCACTAACGTAAAAACATTAATTTAGCGATAGTCTATTTTTATTACACTAGAAGTACACCTCATCGTTGGTATCTGTTCCGAACACAGATAGTATTTTTTTATATACATAGATACATATTTTATATCTACACATTAAAGATATTCGTCTTGCAATCAAACAAAAAAAAACGATTTCCACATGACGCCAGCTTATACATGTGTGTAGGAAGATTCTGTTTATGATATGGAGCTCTATTTAATGTAAGGATGGTACTGATAAGTAGTTGCCCCCACTTTAAATATAATGGTAGGTATATACGTCTAAATCGTACATTCAACTGTCACTCAAAACATGAAGGAATTTCTCTTAATCTAGCAATAAGAACACAAACAAAGTGTATACACAAAATTCGTGTCTTTCTTTCAAAATGTTGAATGCCTTTTTATCGTCAATGCTCAACGTTGGTTAATATTTAATGTTCCAGTTCGTTAAAAAACAATTTATCGGTTGTCCTACCTTTTTCGCCGTGATTAGACAACTACCGTTTGTTGTCTCAAAAGTTAATATTTCAATATCTTCATTATCTGTTTATTTGTGTCTTCAGCAATGGGTTTCGTCAGCTTTCCTCGGAATTTTCTTGATAAAGAAACATTGCCGATAGCATTGTTCTTCAAACATTGTTTCTACTTGTCAATAATCAATATTCATTTGCCATCAGTAAGCAACGCAAAGCTGTCGTTAATATTTGTGTGTCGTCAAATATTCATGTTCCTGTATTCAATATACTCAATGTCCTGTTGTCGTCAATATTCGATATTCATTTTTCAAAAATCAATGTTTATTTGTCGTAAATGATCAACATCTATGTGTCATCAATATTAATTCGTCGTCAATTATTAGCATTCATTTGTTGGCAATATTCCATTTACATTTGTTTTCAATAATCTATTTATTTACATTTATCGTAAATAATCCAGATTTATTTGTCGTCAAGAATCAATAATCTTTTGTCGTCAATAACTGATATTCATTGTTGACAATGACCAATATTCGTTTGTCGCCAATAATGAATATCAACTTGTCGTCAATAATTAATATTCATTTGTCGTCATTAATCATTATTATTGTTCGTTTGTCGCCAATAATGAATATCTATTTGTTGTGAATCATTAATATTAATTTGCTGTCAATAACAAATCATTTATTGTCAATAAATAAGTTATTTGTTGCCAATCAACAATCGCTTGTTGTCAATAATCGATATGTATTTGTCGTCCATAATCAATTTTCAATTGTCGAAAATAAACAATGTTAATCTGGCAAATATTACTTGTTGGCAATAATTAATATTCATTACTTGTTATTCTAACACGATTCGTTTGCAACGCGTGTTTTGATTGGATACGGACCATGTTCTAATCTGCGATATCTATCGGTCTCGAGTTCAAACTCAAGTTTCATGTTCTAATCGCCAGTATAGCCACTCAAAACAACGTACTATCCCCTAAATAATCAATATTCACTAGTTGTCAATAATAAATATTCACTAGTTGTCAATAATCAATATTCACTAGTTGTCAATAATCAATATTCACAAGTTGTCAACAATCATTATTCTCATATACATGTATTGTCATTAATCAATATTCTTTTGTTGTCAATAATCAGTCAATAACCATTTTTGACAAATGAATAATGATTATTGACTGATTATTGACAACAAACGAATATTGATTTATAACAACTAAAGAATATTTTCATTAATCAATATCCATCACTTGTTAGTAACAATATTCATTTGTTGTTATTGATCAATGATTATTAGTTGTCATTTATCAATATTCATTAGTTATCAGTATTCAATTGTCACCGATATCTATTGTTCCTTTATTAGTAATTATTGATGCTCCATTTACGTCAAGACAGTAAGCGGCAAATAGCCATTAAAGGTTTGTCGGTAAATAGCCATTAAAGATTTGTCGGTAAATAGCCATTAAAGGTTTGTCGGTAAAAAGCCATTAAAGGTTTGTCGGTAAATAGCCATTAAACGCTTGTCGTTTTTAGTTTGTGTTTCTCTTTTGTCGATAGCTAGTGACTTGCAGGTCTTATCATTTATTTTTATCAAAATTATTAAGATTTTATGTTGGAAAAACATATGCTAAAACATATAATATTACTCTCCACTGATTAACACTAAAACTGCACAGTGTTATGTAAAAATAACAGCACAATATTTGTTAACACCTAAAAGAACACAATATTGGTTAACACCTAAAACTATACGATATTTGTTAACATCAGAAACTACACAATATTGGTTAATACAAAGTGTACCCAAAACTATACAACATATTGGCTAGCATCCAAGACTTCACAATATTGCTAACACAAATATTACACACTAATGATAAACAACTGCATGTACGACTACCTATATCTACGTGTGGTATTTGACCGATATTCACGGTATATAATTATAATACTATCAAATGCAATTTTGAGTTTACTGTCTTATCAACAGTCAGCATATATATATATTCTAAAGACAATGGTGGTCCACCCCTAGTACGACTATTCCGTCTTTGCGTATTGCAGAGTTATCTGCTCTTGTGAGCAGGTATTGTTTGTTATTTCATTTGTTTGTGAGAGTAACGTCATCAATTTTGGAGAAAACGACGTAATTTTTTCACACAAACCAATGACGTAACAATCAATACCTGCTAACAAGAGCAGATAACTCTGCAATAAGCAAAGACGGAATAGGACAATAAGCTGTTCCATTACGGTGTAAAATATATAAACTGACCCCTACGCATTCCGGAAACTCACATACACAACACAATCAAGTTATGTAATCACATGAAACCTAAAAATTACTGTCTACTCTGAAGTGCTCTCATATGCTTTAAAAAGTCAGTTTAAACATATATTTTTTTATAAAATGTGTATTTCGTTAATGTTATTTATTACATACGCCTTTGATAGGGACGTGTAAACTGACAGCGGAGTGGTTTTATCGATAGCGTAACATCTCTTAGACTTCTTCGGGATGATAACGGAATTCATAAACAAGTTTTGAGATTTACTCTATATAACTCGCGTGTTTCGGCCCTATCTGTATGATTTGGTGTCAGCTAGGCTTTGCTCGGAATTGCTAATGAACTCAAGCCTTTCTTAATCTCCCCGAAAAAAAAGTACGCTTGTTTCAAATGCCGCCGTTAACGGGGCCTTGTTAATGGTTATTAGATGGAGAAAACGGTGAGTCCTAGCATACAGATAGAAGACGACGTGGCCCGTGCTGACAATCTGTCTCACACTGCGAGTAATGGAAAAAGGTCGTCAAGCGGGGACATATGGTATTGATGAAAAATTACTAACGAAAACGAGGATCAGAATTCGTTAGGTATCTCTGAATGAAATTACAATTTATTTCATTTAAATTGATGACTGTAAACAAATTCCCCGACAATCTTTAATCACGACAGACAGAAGCAACACGATCGGTAATAATTGGTACGGTCATGTCATAAACATAATCAAATATATGTAATATTATAAGATATTTTCTTAATAAATTTCAAAAGATTGTTATCAGAAAAAGATCAGGCATATGTTTTACTACGTGTTTGAATGTTTACTATCTGTTTACAAAATGCTGACTACCTACCTTGTGTGTATTAGGTGTATATATACGGCCATGATTGGCGTGTTGTCGTACACGAGCAGGGAGGGAACCTCTCGTTCTACATCACCTAAACATCCCAAGCGCCTGCCTGGTTGCAGTGCGCGTGCATTGCTTGCCGGTGTAGGTATGACCGCGCTGCTATGGAACCAGTGTATATGAGTGCGAGGGCCGACCTCCCAACAGTACCTTCCAGTCTGTTCTCTACTTAGTATCGTAATTTTGAAACAGCATCATCTTTGCGGTGCCGTGCTCTCACGTCCATTTTAAAAAATCCTCAGAAAGAAGAAAATCGATGGTTGCACGATGGCAAGCTGCTGATGATGAGGATTCTCGGCTCTGCAGTTTGGGTAGTGGTTAGCCACCAAGCGCCGTCGCGCAGTCAAAGGCGGAAGGAACAAATACACAACGTTAGACCACACTTGTCACCGATTCACCCAAACCAGCTTATTACGTCCAGTTGATTGGCCGCAATTTGTCATAAGTACATATAGCACGGTATGGCTTGCCGCAGCGCAAAAACTCTATCGGAAGAAATCAATTTGCTGATATCAAAATTATTGCATGCACGTCACAAATTTCTTATTACGAGTTTACTTCTAAGCTGTATCGCAGAGAATTTGTCCGGAGTATGGAGCCTCGGCGATAAAAACTGCTGCAGAAGACTCCGGCAAAAACACGAGAACGCAAAACTAGCGTTAGGCGTACTTTGTTTCGATTTTTTTCGGAATCTCAATGGTTGGGATGTGACCCCACCAGACAGACAGCGGTAAAAATAGGATAGTTTATCAAGTCCGAAGACGTCCAGCCTTTTCCAACACAGGCACGCGCAAACTTTTAGTGGCGTTTCCTGTGTTCGTACTATGCACGATTCAATACGAATTACAGCTTGTTTTTAAATCGGTCACGAACAGCTTAGCTTACAATCAGAAATTTCATTTTCTTTTTTTTTTTCGGCCGAAGGGCACAAGCACCGTTAGCTTCGATATCACTAACACTCTAGTTCTGTGTGACTACATTGAGTATCACTTACACTATAGTTATGTATGACTACATTGGGTATCACTTACACTCTAGTTCTGTATGACTACATTGGGTATCACTTACACTCTACTTCTGTGTGACTACATTGAGTATCACTTAAACATTAGTTCTGTATGACTACATTGGGTATCACTTACACTCTAGTTCTGTGTGACTACATTGGGTATCACTTACACTCTAGTTCTGTATGACTACATTGGGTATCACTTACACTTAAGTTCTGTGTGACTACACTGGGTATCACTTACAATCTAGTTTTGTATGACTACATTGAGTATTACCTACACTCTAGTTCTGTATGACCACATTTGGTATCACTTACACTCTAGTTCTGTATGACTACATTGGGTATCACTTACACTCTAGTTCTGTATGACTACATTGGGTATCACTTACACTCTAGTT